ATTAGGTTCAGACCAGGGCGGGGCTGCTCCGTGAGCCGTCCCACCCAGGGGTAGCGGGGCCTTGTGTGAATTTCACTGCTTTCTCTGGCTTTCCAGGTTCACATTGGTCCAGAACAGGTCATACATGGGCGCAGACATGACTGACTCTTCCTAGCGACCAGTGACACCTGCCAGCTGATCTGAAGACAGCAGCCAGGTTTCCTCACCCTGAGAGGTGGGACGTGGTCACTCGGCCCCACTGGCCGCCTCGCCTGGTTGTGGAGAAGCCAGACATGCTGGTCTGAGCCTCGGTCTGTTTGGGCAACGCAGGCAGTGACAGGACCCACCCCGCCCCACCGGACTCGGGAGAGAATTAAAGAATAAAATGTCCATGGAGCCCTGGGAAAAGCTTTCGGCACAGCAAACCCACGATGAACAGGAGCTATCTCATTGTTACTCCCCGGTCTCCTTGGAAACCAAAGCCGATGCCTGAAGATCCTCAGGACCTCCCCACGGCCACTTCCTCTGCTGGACAAAACGCTGCCCCTCGGATGTTTTTTTTTTAATTTATTTATCTTTAGATGGGAAGGAGAGAGGGAGAGAAACATCAATGTATGGTTGCCTTTCGTGCATCCCCTGCTGGGAACTGGCCTGCAGGGAACCAGTCTGCAACCCAGGAATATGCCCTGACTGGGAATCAAACTGTGATCCTCTGGTTCACAGGCCTGTGCTCAATCCACTGAGCTACACCAGCCAGGGCTTCCTCGGATGTTGTAAGCGAGCTTCCTCCAGGTAGGCTTTTCAGGCCACCTGTGCGGGAATCGCCCCGAGTGATTCTCTTCATTGCTCAGCCTCGGGCAGTTCTTCGGAACCCGGACGTTTGAGAACTGCTGTCAGCTTGCCTGATGGCTGCAGAGCCACCTGCCCAATCAAAGAGAAAAGGGGGTGTCTGACCCGATGAAACAGAGGGGGGCGCAGCAGAGGGCCCGGACCTGGACTCAGAGGCCAGAGTGGAACGGAGCCAGCGGCGCCTCCCTAAGGGGGCCTCGGAGAGCCGAGGGGGAGCTGAAGGTGGCGGACCGTGGAATGCTTCCCAGGAATCAATGAACGCACGATGCTACTCGTACTTTGATCCCAATTCCAAGAACCTAAATACAGAATTCCTATCTACTGCTTCTGTAGAAGACCGTGTGACCTAGTGATGTTGTGACGAAGGACATCGTTCGGGAGCGTTTCATCCATTCCATCTTTAACAAACATAAGCTGGGTGTCAGCGCTTGGCCGGGTAGGGTGCCGGCACAAAGCAGGGGGAAGCCGCCACGCTCTCTGCCTTCGGGAGCACGTGGAGGGTTCTGACATGTCCAAGGACAGAGAAGGGACCGGGAGAGATGTCCAACAAATCTCACAGAACTCCGGAACGGGAACAGGACCCGAAGGGCTGCCTCTCCGACCCCGGAGCAAAACAGGCGAGAAGACAGACCCAGGATGGTGGAGCGGCTCCCCCACGCCCGCCCCCGTGCTGGGTAGCCGGAAACGTGTGCCTGCCTCCCAGAACGCTTCCTGCTCCGGCTGTTTCGCCCTTTCCTGCACCGAGAAAAGCAAAGAAGCAAAACAAATACTGAGTTGCTTGCTCCTGTCATCAGAATGACTCACGTCAGCCGATGGTAACAAAATTCTTCCCACTTAAAGCAGCGCTATTAAATATTGGCCTTTCACTTGCTGGAAAAGCAGGTTACAAAACATCACACCGAGCAGGATCTCACGCGTGCAAGCTGGGCGTCTGCGGTGTGCGCGTGTGTGTGCACAGAAAGACGGCTGTACCGACCGAGAGGACTCATGACCCACTCCACCCCGGGTCACGGCTGCTTTCCGTGTTCTTCTTTCTGTTCCTGGAACTTCCTCAGCATTTTCCGAATCTTCTCCAATGAACCCACACTCCTTCCACGGTGGGGAGAAAAGTCTTCTCAAAGATAACGTCCGGCTCTTTGTTTTTAAGTCCCCAAGTCTTGCCGCGTTGTTTCGCTGTTTTTCCCGTTTCCTGAGCAGTAACTGGCAGGTGTCACTGTGTGAGTTTCGGACACTGCAGAGCGTGACGGGGCGACTCACATATATTGGGGGGCGATCGCCACAATAGGCTCGGCCAACGCCCGTCTCCTCATGGAGACACGAGGACAGAAGAAGGGGGAGCAGGTGTTTCTCCCCACGGGGAGAACTCGGGGTGCCCCTCCCAGAGTTCCTCGGGCCACACGGTGGCACTGAGAACGGTCACCAGGCCGCACACACCACCGGTCCAGCTGACTCCACCCCACACAGGAAGTTTGCCGCTTCCGACCGCCTCCCTCCGGAGTTTTGCCTTTTGGAGATTAGACCCAATCTCATGAGAGGTTTCTACCGTCTTTTTCTCCAGCCTGCACCCCAGCATCAAAATCCGTCTTTGCCTTCCAACGGGAGGCTGAGGCACAGCCAGCCTCCTGTTGCCAGACCCAGGACATTCCTCGGATGCATCCGGGCGGAGACTGGCCCTGGTCCTGAATGGAATCAGCCAGTCGGCAAATACTGCCTGAGCCCTCCCCAGGCCAGGAACTGCGCCGCGCCCCATGCCCCGAGGTCAAAACCGGGACCCCAGTCTTCAGGAACGTGGGAGTCCATGGGGAGAGAAGGAGTGAACCTGTGCAAAGTTCAGTTACACAGTGGGGACAAGGGCACGAGACTGTCAAGTACGCTGTGTCTTGGGCCAGCAAGGTCAGTGCACAGAGGGAGCCTCAGGAGCCAAGTGGCAGATAAGGGACCGAGGACAACAGGGGCTCCCGAAGGTCTTTTGGAGGAAAGTAACAGAAGATCTGTGTTTCGGGAACGGTCCGACCTTCAGGATGTCCCATCACTGCGTTTGAGGAGGGAGAGACGGAGGAGAGGTGGGGAACCGATTACCAGGTGCAGACTCGGGGTTCCAGGCCCTGCCACTCCCCGGGCCACTTGGAACACAGCCCTTCCACTGGGGCACGTGTGTCACCAGAGCAGTGAGACGGCTGGACTGGAGCCTGAGTTTTTTCCAGCTGTCGGGCTCTTTGTCCCGGGGACCCAGGTGGGACAGCGTGTGGCCGTGGCCAGGACTGCAGACTTTTCTCCAGCAAACGCCTCGCGGGGCGGGCGCAGCTACAAAGTCACCTCCCTCTTCAGCACCAACAGGGACGATCAGATTCCCCGTTACGCTTATTTTTAGCCCCTCGGGAGGCTTAGCAGCAAATCTTTTCTTCTTTACTTTTTTTAACCAAGATAATACTTATACGCCATAAAATTCACTCATTTAAAGTACACAGTGGAGCGGGCTTTAGCATATTCTCAAAGTTGTGTAACCATCACCACTACCCTAAATATGCTAAGTATGTTCATCACCCCAAAAAAGAAACCCTGCGCCCTGTGAGGTCACTGCCCAGCTCCCCTCCTCCCAGCCCTTGGCCTCCCCTAAACTGCTTTCCTCTCTGGATCTGCAACTCTGTGGGCATTTTCGGAGGGTGTTTTGTTTTGTTTTTGTTGTTAAGTCCACTCTCTTTGTTTCTCTAGACCAGCTTTTCAGGGGTCACTGATGAGGCCAGGGAAGGCCCGGGAGGGGGGGGGGGTTCCAGGCGGGCCTGGCGTGGCAGCCAGTCTGATGCCTGCGCACAGTGAGTCTTCAACAAATTCGCCTGGGGAAGGCCCGGGTGCCTTTTCCTGGGCCACCCCCTCCTTCCTCGCTGGCGCAGCCCCGGGACGGTTCTGCCCCTGTTCTCTTCAGCGGCCATGCAGCCTCCTGACCGTGCACAGAGCTGGCGCTGGGTGCGGGGGCCCTCGAAGGAGCAGGGGCGGGCTCTGTTCCATGAGAGCCTTCGCCGGCTTGTGCCGTCTGCACCTTGAGCTCAGCAGACCAGCGACCAGACTGCCTCATTGAAAAAGCAGCTTTGAAAACAGAGCCCCACTGGTGTCGGCTCCTCCGTCAGACCAGAGAGAGCCCAGCGACCGTCAAGAGCCGGCAGTTGACCTTTTTCTCCACGCAGGACCCTGCGGTGCAGCCCAGAGCAGGGCTGCCTACAGCTCCTTTGGTGGAGTTCTTCGTTCCTCTTCTTTACAACAGAACCAGCAGTGGCTCCGAGTTATTCTGCCCCTTGAAGCTCGTGCTGGGAGCCAGCTACGTCCGGAGGACTAGGTCCAGCCCTTCGGGTTGGCGAGAGCACAGCCTGCCCGCCGCACACGACCCTGCCCGGCTCAGTCTCCGGCCTGAAGGTTTCCTATGTGGGACCGGCCCCTCGGCTGCTCTGGGCAGCACGGTGGGCCTGCGACCCCCGAGGGCCCTCAGTGCAGAACCCCAGAGCCCTGGGGCTGCCTCGTGGGCGTTTCATGTGAATGGAAAACAATCTGAGGCCTTTCAGACCGTCTTCTCAAGCCCAGCACGTGGTTTTCGAGCCCCCCCCCACCCCGTAGCCCCTGTACCTGCTTCCTCCCTTTTCACGGCCGAATACCCCTCCCCTGTGGGGATGGACCCACCGTGTCTGTCTGGTCACCCGAGGACAGACGTCTCAGTGCTCTCCCCTTTCCTGCATCGCAGGGAGGCCCAGCTCCTCGTTTATGGGGGGACGAGCTGTCACACAAATGTCCGCTACTTGAATTTTAAAGGCAGTGGGAACTGGGGGCAGAGGGAGCGCGGTCTCTCAGGCACAGCCACCCACGGCCGCCGCTGCAGACCATCTCCGGAGCCGCGGCACAGGGAGCCGGGACGCCCCCACCTCCAGTGTGCGGCTTCGAGTGAGAAGTGCGGAGCCGCAAAGCTCGATCCGTGGATTGAAAAACCCCACAGGACAGACTGACAGCTACCAGAGGGACGGGGGGCAGGGGGAGAAGGTGGGAGAAGGGGAAGGGGTTAGTCAGAGAGTGCGTGCCACTGACACGTGGGCCTGGACTGCACCAGGTGTGGACGTGGACTGTGGGAGCCAGGTCGGGGGTGGAAGGGGCGGGGGAGGCGGAGGGAGGAGAAATTGGGTCAACTGCAATGGAATAAACAAGACTTTTTTTTAAATGCCACAGGATTAGGGGATTATCTTGAGCTTTCATGTTCTCCCAACGAGAGGGGGTTGAATGTGTGGATTCCCAGGCACAAGGGCGGCTGCGTCGTCGCGGCTGGTGTGGGGCCTGCTCCTTGTCCACCAGCAGCTGGTGCAGGCCCACGCGTGTCAGAGCGTGTCTCCCCGTCCCCACCGTCTGCACCGCCGATGCTGTCACCGCGATGTCCTCACCGTGTCGGCATGAGCTGGGAAACCACAAAGTGTCCCTGAATGGTCCGCATTCTCGTTACGATGTAAGACCGCAGGAGTCCTTGTCTCCCCTAAATCAAACGGAATTCAACAGGAGGTCCACGCAGCATCGGGCTGGCAACGGGGCACCCTGGGTGTGGGTCTTCCTAGTGGGAGCGCAGAGGGCAGCCCAGGCATCCGAGTTTCTCTTCCAATCATCTCACGCACCTCTCAGTGGCCAGACCAGCAGCAAAGGGGCGGAGCACCCCCAGGGGGAGAGCGAGCTCCGTCGCCAAGATGAGCTGGTCACTAAGCACCTACTCTGTGCGAAGACAAGGGACGAGTCCCTCAGGCTCTTGGAATCTAACTGAAGGGACGAAGCATAACCATGAAACATCCTTGCCTCTCGCCAGGAGCTGGGGTGGGGGCTGTGGGAGGAGAGAAGGGGGGCCTGTGGATGCGCACGGAGCTTCGTTCTGGCCCAATGACAGTCTTCCTGGATTAGATCCTGGTGACAGCAGACTTTGTTCTGTGAAAATGTACATTTCCAAAAACCGCTAAAATGAATATTTTAAAGGGGACATGAATTGTATGGCATATGAATTGTACCTCAATAAAATTTTTGAAACGGAAATAATAAGAATAACAGATCATCCTATCACAAAAAAAAAACAAAGCGAGAACAGCAGGCCCGGAGTGAGGGTAGAGCGGGTTTCCTTTCCAACACAGACTTTTCCACTAAGCACAACCCGTAGTCAATGTCCCTGTGTGGCCGTCACCAGCCACCCTTGCTGAAGCCCTCCCCACCGCCCCCACCGCACAGCCTGACCCCCTGCGACCCCAGCCTCCCCCGGAGCAGCAGGCAGCCGAGTCCACAGACTCCGGTGGACGTTCTCCTACCTGCCCTGCCCGGGGGCGTGTGTTCGTGAGAATGTGGCCTGGATCGCGGCTCGATGCGGGAATACCCGCCGGCAGTGTTTTGTGCATTTATCCAGTGCCATTAACTTTGCATGAGCTGGGACCGTGAAGGACACGCGTCTTGAAGGCTGCAGTTAAATAATAATTTGACATCGGAAAACATTCTGTGGAAAAAAACGTGTGGACGTAAGTGCTTTTGAAGGAAATTCACACTCTACCACCTTCTAAAAAAAGAAAAGGAAAGAGCAACACATTCCTCCAGGGCTCGAGCAGCTGCCTGCTGTGGCCACGGGCCAGCGCTCTCGAGCCCGGGACTGCACGGGGCCACCGGTAGAGTTTGGGGCTAGATGGGCCCAGGGTCTTTGGGGAGATGCCAACTGGCTTCCCGGGTCATCGTGGGCGTATTAATTAATCTCTCCCAACCTCAGTTTCCTCACCTGTAAGATGGGGTGTTCTCGTCTGCAGGTGACCTGTGGGGTTTCGAGGGGACTGAGCCCAGGAGTGAACGCCCAATGCTCAGAGAAGCACCTGGCGAGCTTGACCCACTGAGGAAGGGGCCACTGCCGCTGGAGTCACCGGCACTTCTTGTGCCATCGCCGATGCCTGGGTAGGGAGGAGGGCGCTTGCCACTCCTAAAGACCTTCAAGGGTGCTGGCAGCCTGACTGGGTATATTTTGATGTCACCCCAGAAGACACATCACATTCTGAAATAAGAGAGTGCAGCTAAGGATCCTGGATCCAGGGACATCCTGGTGGGACTGGGAGATCCTGTGAAAGAACCAATAAGCCAGGTTTTCACGTTCCACCATTTTTCACCATCTTTAGACTTTAAAAGGGGGGGGTCCATTTAAGTTACTTAGGCTCTGAAAGGGTGGTACCACATAGTCTGTGCCGGAACCACAGTGGGGTGCTTGTTTAAAGCGGGAACTACCCAGGCCCTCGAAAGGCGACTTCCAGAATGTTCTCAGGAAGCCTCTGGAGCCGGAACACAAATAAGGAGAATGTCCCTGCCTCAAGAACGTCAGCAAACCTGGATTACAGGAAGTCCACTGAGTCTAGAGTGCACGGCGCTGTCAGGGGTCACAGGATGAGAGGACAGCCGCTTCCTGCCATCATTGCACGTGGACCAGTTTGAACCAGTGACCCCGACTGGGTCCCAGCTTCACTTCTGATGAACAACCACTTTGTGAGCTGCACAGTGATGCTCTGCTCACTGGAATGATCTGTAATGACCTATTTTTATCATTTCTTTCCCTTTCGTTGTTGCAATTAGTTGCCAAGATAGGACAGGAAAAGATGCTGGTCCCTCTGGGGCTCAAATAGAGAAGGAATTCCTACCAGTTTAAAGATTTATAATGAAAGAAAGCCCAGACTTTACAGAATTATGTGCAATTTAGTTAGTTGGACTTTTTAGATGAACACCCATACCAATATTCTCCCTGAACAGAGCAAAGGAAAGGTGATGTTTTGTTTTTGTGGTTTTTCTTGTCAATCACCGACTCAAAGACAATCTGGCAACAGCTCCTGAAGACAGTGTGAGCCTTGACTGCGGTTGTTTCCTGCAGCCTCTACGGTGGGGTCAGACACACAGTGAGTGTTTGTTAAATGAAGCACCGCCCCAACCAGCACGCGAACGAGCGAACCAGGGGACGACCGTCCATCCCATCCCAAGCCATGCAGTGCAGAGGGCCTGAGCGTCCCGCCGCCCTGTAGGTTGGGCCTGAGCCTCCAAAGAGCACCCCACGGGTAACTTCCTCATCACCCCAACTCTCCAAGCAGAGAGTGCTGGGAGCCAGGCTGGAATCCTGTGCGAAGCACCCGGCACAGCCCAGCCGCCCTGGCCGGTGCTCAGCAAAGCGAAAGGCAGGCCTAGGCATCTCTCACCACGTTCGCTCGGTGCCCAGGGCCATCTGCAAGGTCATGCTGTTTCTTTTGCTACAGAAACAGTGGTTGCCTTTCAACTCGGGGGTGGAAAAAGCCTCCTTTTTCCTCAAGTTCCAGCCCCTCTGCTCTGCTGGGTGGGCTGCGGCCCCTGGGCTTGCTCTCGTCCTCCACCCTCCCTGTACGGAGCTGCCTCACCCCAAGCAGAGCCCAGCCCGAGCTGGCGGGACCTCCCCAAACTCATTCCTCTCTGCTTCCTCGGGGATGAAAACACGGACGATGGCTCTGCCCCACATTTCCTCAGTGACTTCTGGGTGGTGCGTCCCCCTGTGGGGTCCTTCGCTCTGGGGCCCATTCCCCCGCCGCCCCACCTTCCAGGAGCTCCCGCCCTGACTGTTGCCTTGGCTTTTATTGCAGCAAAATAATTGTGCAAAGGAGGAAAATGTGTCACTTCCTTTTTTGGGCTCTCACCACAAAATTTCCTTTTTCACACCGAACTCCTATAAAACACCTACTGTGCTCGAATTTTTATTTGCATGAAATATACGCCCCCCCCCCCTTTTTTAAAGCAAAGGGTGCTCAGTTCTTGTGTTTACGGGTCTCCCCTGACAGCTGGCTGTTCTGACACCACTGGCCGTCTGTCTGTCTGCTGTCAAGTCCGGGGGAGGGCCGGCCTCTGCCTCTCCCCTTGCGGCAAGCGCCTGCGGAGAGGGCTGGGGGAGCCGCGCCCCTTCCCAGACTTCAGAAGAGGGAGAGGAAAGCCAGAATTAAAACCCCACAGTGAAGCAGGACCCAGGAGGTGCTCATCCTGCCTCTGCACGTGGAGTGAGCCACCTTCCGGAGCGGGAGGGGACAGACTGGTGCCAGCTCCCAGCTACGTGCCCCGTGGCAGGGACCCGCATGGTCTGCGCCGTCCCTAGCTCTGCTCTCGGTGAGGAAACACAGGCCAGAAGTTAGGGGGCTGCCTGGGCCACACAGCTGGCAGGCGACAGGGCTGGCATTCGGACCTGGGCCAGGGGGCTGCAGAGCCCACCTTATCTCTGCGGGAAGGGCTAGTGAGCCCCGGGTCCCTGGCCTGGGCAGGGCCACCAAGCTGGGCCATGTTGCCCCAACACACCATCTACCGTGTTCCCTGTCCTCGATCTACGGGCAACATTTTTGTCTGAACGACAAGTGGAAGAAGGTTCTGTACTTAGCACAGCCCGCGCCTACGGTCATTACCGCCTCCAGGAACAGGACGCCCACTGAGTAACTGCCCTGAACCGTCCGGAACCCAGAGGAGAGGGCTGGGTAAGGAGGCGGGAGGTCTGCCCCAGCCCAGGAGCTGCTGCTGTGGGGCCTCCGGAGGGAAACGCCCCCACGTGGACGCTGCGGGCAGCGGGAGGGCTGAGGGGCTCCTCAGAGTTGAAATAACGCTGCAAGGGGGTGGGGGGTGGAGATCGTATGACAGGAACAAGAAACTCTACCTGTCTGGGCCCCGAAACACAAGGAGCCTGCATTGGAGTGTCCCTCAGAGGTCGTGTCGTGTGTCAATCACTCTGATTCTCGCTTGTGTGAGCAGGAACACAGAGGTTTAAACAGAGAAAGCTCTAGAAAGAAATGCATTCCAAGGCCACAGGCTATTTATAACGTGAGCAGATGGCGCCCCCTAGTGTTGGGATGACCCTCAGCAGCCGGAGCTGGACTGAGCTCGGGCGTGACCTTGAGCGCTGGGAAGGTGAGTAGGACCTGTGCTGCTGCCTGGAGGGAAAGGGAAGAGCAGAGGCCGGAGCCCTCCGGGGTGGGAGACCAGTGACCACAGGGCCACGTCCTCCCTCTGTCTCCTTCCAGGTCCTAATTGTCAATGCCATAGACCCTCCTGATGCAGCTTTCTCCAAAGACTGAAAAAAATCACTGTTGCCAGCACATGTCTGTGACTCAGTCTTCCCTGTAGGTCGGCCGGGCAACTGCTCGGCTTGCTGCCTGCGGAGCAGCCCGGCTCCGAGGAACAGACCGGAGTCACACACGGTGACCGCGCTGTTCACTCGGCTGTGACTGCACGCAGGTCCGCTCAGAGCGGAGCATCAGCACACTTGCTGTCCTACTCACAAACACACACACACACACACACACACACACACACACACACAGAGCAGTGGGGGACAGTGACCCCGAGCCCCAGAGTCTCGTCTGCAGGTCAGGGAGACAGCACGGAGGGCAGGGAGTCGTCGGAGTCTTGTGAGGAAGGGTCTCCGGAGCCAGGCGGGCAGCAGGGCAGGCGATGTCCTCCGTCCGGCAGGCAGAGCCCCGGCGGCCGAGGCCAAGGGAAGTGGGAGTGGCGTGGGGCAGCCCCTGGGGTGCGGGGCTCAGCTCAGTCGTACCTGGGAAGGGGTGGACTCCACCCTCCCAGGTCTTTCCGATAAATGTCTAGGTGCCCCTACTGCCCAGTGGGGACTCTCCCCAGGAGCCTGTCTGTGGGGGGTCCAGCCCTGCAGACACAGGTGTTCTGACCACGTGGGCAGATATCCTGGGTGTGTCCCCTTGTCAGACGTGTCTGCTCTGACTTAGGTGGTTTCCCTCTTGCACGGAAGTGTCACGGCCGACTGGTGGCCCTGTTGGTTGACAGGAGCGACTCCACTTTGTTTTGTACACTTGATGCTGTCTTGACCGGACCAGCGCCATTTCGTTGGTCCTGCTCTCCGCACCCTGAGCCATCTGTTACGTGTGCACACGTGCTTTCTCTCTGTATCAGGTTCACCGAGTCCTAGCGGCGAACAATTCAGAGTCCCCGGTCCTTTCGGAGGCCTTTTCTTGTCCAGAGCATGGCCAGTCAGTCCCAACTCAGGGCCCTCTGCCGACGGGTGGGCAGCCCCAAAGCCCCCTGAACAGGGAGGTGTCACAGACGCCTGTGTGGAAAGCTGACAAAGGCATTTCCCTGCTCTTCAGAGTGAATGGAAGAATGATCTACACATAAAGTTTTAAATCAGGGCTGCCAGCCTGTGGCCCAAGACAGGAAGTGGCTCTGGTCTTTTACAGAGGACCGAGGGGGCCGGGGGGAAGGAACAGAAAATTGATGTGAGTTCACTCCGAGATAAATAAATGCGTGAACGACACAAACCGTTCCCAGGTCCTTCCAGCACAATGAAATGTGAAGGCAAAGCCTTATCTCTACCCCTACCATCTGCAGTGTGCATTCTGCAAAGCTAAAAACCCTCTGGGAAGGGGGACCTTGTGCACTGCTGGTGGGGAGGTAATCTGGTGCGGCCACTGTGGAAGGCAATAGGGAGTGACTTCAAAAAAAGTGACAATAGCCCTGGCTGGTGTAGCTCAATGGATTGAGCACGGACCTGTGAACCAGAGGATCGTGGTTCGATTCCCAGTCATGGCACATGCCTGGGTTGCAGGCCAGTTCCCAGCAAGGGACCTATGAGAGGCAACCATACATTCGTGTTTCTCTCCCTCTCTCCTTCCCTTCCCCTCTAAAGATAAACAGATTAAATCTTTTTAAAAACTGAGAACAGAGGTACCATATGACCCAGGAATCCCTCTTTGGGGTAGCTACCTGAACATTTCGAAAACACTTATTTGTAAATAAGAGTTTACACTTACATCTGTGTTCAATGCAGCATTGTCCACGACAGCCAGGACTCAGAAACAACATAAATATGCTTCGGGGGACAAAGGGGGGTGAAGAAAATTGGCGCACACACACACAACAGATGGAATGCCTCTTCCGATGACCTGGACGGATCACTAAATGAAATAATAGATCAGATGGACAAGGAAGGAACCATACGATTTCACTTGCATGTGGGGCGGAAAACTGAAAGCAGCAAATAAAAACACAAACTCACAGGTACAGACAACAGCACGGAGGTTACCCGAGGGGTAGGGGGCGGGGAGAAGGAAGGGGATAAAGAGGGTCCAATACGCGGTGACAGAAGGGGACTAGACGTGGGTGGTGAGCACACAGTGGAGTGTGCAGATGTCGGATTACAATCTGCACAGCTGGAACTTACATAATGTTGTTAACCAATGTGATCCCCAGTACATTTCATTTTAAAAAGATGCCCTGGCTGGTATAGCTCAGTGAATGGAGTGCTGGCCCATGAACCAAAAGGTCGCTGGTTCAATTCCCAGTCACGGCACATGCCTGGGTTACAGACCAGGTCCCCAGTTAGGGGCATGCGGTCGATGTTTCTCTCTATCTCCTTCTCCCTCACTTCCTCTCTCTCTAAAAATAAATAAATAAAAATATTTTTTAAAAAGAAAAGAAAATGACCTCCAGGCTAGTGGTGTCTTCGTTGAAGTTAATCTTGTGAAGGAAATTGGAGGGAGCCTGTTCCCTGAGCAACTCGTCAACCTGAAGCCACTGTCCTGGGTGTCAGAAGTGGGTGGGTTTCCCGGCTGCAGGCACAGGAGTCACAGGACAGGGACAGGGCCCCCTTTTTTTCCCCCTGGATGATGGCCGTGACACATGCTCATTGTAAGAAAAAAAAATGCAGAATGTAATTTGTGTTTTTTTTCTTCAGTGTCATTACATATTGTCTATGTCATTAAATACCATTTGCAAATCTCATTGGAATGGCTGCGTGATGTGCCATTTTTAAAACCATTTTCTCATCCACTTGCTTCCAATCTTTTGCCGTTTTAAGGCAAGTGCAGTGAGCTTCCTGCACATCACCCTTCACCCAGATTTCTGAGTCACAGAGGGGTTCCTTCTGGGTCAGAAGGAAAGTCACTGCACTTTTTAAAATGTATGCAGCTGAGGGTTCCTGAGGCCACGCTGCTGTTTTCTGTGCGGCAGGCACAGGGTGCCTCAGCAGAGAAAATGAAACAGCAAGGAGTATTTGCTTTGAATCAAAAGTCAGCATAAGAGAAAAAAGTCAAGATTTGATGTCTGGGTTTTGCTACCACTGTAGACCTGGCCTGTGGTCTTGGGCAAGTCCCTTCCACTCCTTGGTCTCAGCTGTTAAATTAAACAACTAAATTTTAAACACTTTAAGTTTGTTCGGAGGGAAGGCACCATAAAAGCAGAGGGCTGAGTCTCTTCTTCTGTGGGACAAAATTCTTTTCTTTTCGAATTCTCTATTCTGCCAGCTGGTCCCCCGGGACAGTTTGCCTCTGGGATCCAGCCTGTCCTCTCCGCGCTTTGCCTGCAGCGAGATTTCAGCAGGTGCCTGAAGCCCCTCCTGTGCTCCTCTGATCGTCCAAACCACCCAGAGGTAAGCAGTGGTCCCTGGCATGAAAATCCCACGCCCAGAAATTCGTCCTGAGGCCCAGAACTGCCGTTTCCTAGGTGTGCTGCCTACCCAAGATCCAAGAAGTTTCACCCCTGGGGGGGCGGGACTGCCGGAGTATCATCTTAGAGTCGCCCTGAGACTAAATAAAAATGAAACCACATGTGTGCAACCAGCTAATAAACCCTAAAACCCAAAGAGCCACACACTCCCATGTTGGTGCTACTCGAGGGGCTGGACAGGGACGGGGGTGACTGCAGAGAAAATGGGGGGCACCGCCTGATATGGCTGTGCCACCGTGTCACTGGCCTGAAGGGGCCGTCACCCAGAGAACCAGCACCCAGTCAGGCGTGAACAGGGGTTTGCAGCAAAGACAGTGAAGGTTTATTAATGGAGGAGACGGCGCCAGGCCAGGAGTCACAGGAGAGCTGGCACTCAAAGACCTGGCCCTCGGATGGCTTCTCAGGGACTGGGTCTAGAGAGGGAAAATCGCTAACCTCGGTGGTTAGGCGGTGGTCTCCACTGATTGGTCCACGCTAGTCGTTAATGGCACACCTGGTCCTGTCTGGCTCTGTCTGGCTCCCGAGGGTGTGGTGGGCCGGGGGCTGAAACGCAGCTGAGGCTCAGACGTCATCTTCATTTTGACTAAAACTCTGTCTCTGTGCACAACAGACCGCAGGCTTTGTTCCTGGGATTATCTGATGCTGATCAGAACCTCACTGTCCTGAAGGTTTCACAGTTAACGAGTGGTTGTTCGAGGGACAGGGAGGCGGGGGCGTTGGGGTGATCCTAGGCTGGAAAAGGCCAGTTTGAATCAAGAGGAAAGGAGGAGAAAGGTCAGATTAAAGAAACAAAGTTTCTGCGCCATTACAGTCCAACATTTCACCTCTTGTTCATTAGCAGTGCGATAGAACGTCTAGGGTTTTCCAAGTGGATTTTCCAAGTGGATTCCTATTGCATCTATTAACACCTGCACATTTGGAAATGCAGGTTTTGTGATTCGGTTTCACATAGAGTGGAAGGTCTATGAAGGCAAGCACCTTGTCTTGCACCTGCTGTATCTTCGGGGCACAGAGCAGCTGCCTGCTCATAACAGGTGCCCAGCGAAACGTGTTGCATGATGAAGGTACTTTCTGTTCGGCTTCTGTGAAACCAGCCTCTGAAAAATAGTTTGCAGAGTGGGGTCAAGCAAGGATTTTTATGCACTGCTAGTGAAAGTAAATTTGTTAAAATTTGCAGAAAGTGAATTTTTTTTGTGGAATGGATCACAGACTTTTCAAATGCTCACACCCTGTCACCAAATTGGGCTGTTGGGAATTTATTTGGAAGTTATCCTAAGTATAAAAGGGAAAAATTGTGTCTAAAGATGCTCAGGAGATGCAAATTTGTTTAAAATAGCAACAACCCCCCACCAAAATGGAAACCATCTGAATTATGTTCAAAGTTCATTGAATAAAGTTACAGACTATCCACTGGATGGGTTATTCTGCAGCCATTAAAATAATGCTGAACAAACTCAAAAAGAGTCTGGAAGTTTGCTGCAAATGAAATGACAGAGACTAATTCAAGGGACTCAGAGTCTGCAAACTGCAAACACAGCTAGGCGAAAACCCAGGAGTGTTCAAAGAAGAAAGAAAGGTTAAAAGTTCATATACCAAAAAGCAAACTCTTGAGACTGGTCAGTCTTACATTTCTCGCTGGGACATTGGTCCAGGACAGTCACCAGTCAGGTGTCAGGCAGTGAGGATGACGGTGCCAGGTGGTCCAGAAGGTGGATGCCAGGAGGTCTGGATAATGGATACTGGGTGAGCACAGAGGGCTAACTGGAGTGTCACCTGGAGGTGTACTCTATGTCCAATTGCACACCCAGGCATTGATACAAGGCTGGAAAATCCAAAACAATGTAAGTTCCCATTCTGGTTGGAACGAGAAGGAGGTCTGTCCTCAGGCCTTATCCTCACTGCGTTAGCAATTTCAGCAGCTTGGTTAAAGTGACTCCGTTTCAGATGTTCCCTGTCATCACTCTCTCCTCAAAGTCTATGAAAATTATAGAACTTGGAAATACACTTATATTGTAAGCAGATATTCACAAACCACATACAATTTGGGATCCCTTTTTTTCTCATGTATGAAGGGAAAAGGCAAGATACTAAATTATATGCAAATTGTGAATTTGTATATGTAATAAAAATAAACACAAAATAAAGAACATTATTGAGTGCCACGGTGCCGAGCAATTATTCTAAATACTTTAAGTTCCCTATTCTTCCTAACAACCTACAAGGCAGGTGCTATTCTATGTAGTGCCCGCTTTATAATGAGGAAACTGAAGCACAGAGGAGGTATGCGATTGGGCCAAGGTCACCAGAAGGACTGGCATTCAAGCCTGGGCAGCTCAGGCCACTGCCTGAGAAACTACTGGGAAACAGCCCGACCAACTACTGACAACAGCTGCCTCTGGTGGTGGGAAAGGGGGCAATCACGGTCCTTCCTTTTTTTTTTTTTTTTTTGCATTTTTGCATTTTTACAAGTTTTTTTGTAATGATGAGGAAAACTGCACTCTAAAAGGACAGATTAATGAATTAATCTGTGTTTCTACAATAGATGTGAGCAGACAAAAACGTGTTAATTGGCCACAGGACCCCATGATTGCAGCCAGGTAGCTCTGCGGGCCCATTCCATTTCTTACAGAAGAGAAAATTAGAGTGAGCTCCACTTAGGGGGAAACAGGTTGAACACGGGTTGCTTTTATGAAGGCTGGTGTTGAGTCCTCAGCTCCAATGTCACACTTGCTCAAACCCCAGTTTTACTTTATGTCTGATTCTCAGATAACCACTCTACCCAAACAGTTGCTGTACTCAGGTGAGATGGGACAGGGTAGGAGGCGGGAAGTGACGAAGGGGTAGTCATGTCCCAGGTACAAGGCACGTAGTGTCTGCTTCTGGGGCTGTAAAGTTAGGTTCTTTCTATTTTTGTTAGTACAGCATGAGGAACTGCACTTGATACACACTTTGGCGTGGTTGGAAGAAGGGGTATTAAGAATGCTAATGATGCCAGTGTGGAATGTGACATGAGACAAATGCCACTGTATTTGTCTAAATGGACATTTTAAAGCTAGGGACAATTAATCTATTCTACAGTAACGGCCGCTTAGTTACGCAAGTATTTCTTCTTTACGTGCTCTCTGAGCAGAGCAACTCCACCCCGAGCCCGGTAGGTCACAACCATTTCCAAGGACTACAACTCCCAGCCCAGCAGAGGCCCCTGCACATGCGGCCTGACGACGTGCGCCTACATTTCCCAGAGGGCCGAGCGGCTACGCAGACGCATGCGCGCGCTCTCCCATCTCTCTACCAACTCGGGTTTGACCTACAGCTGCCCGGGAGAAGATGGCTTCCACGGCAGTGCCCGGGCTCTCCCGGCAGGTGAGACTGGAGGTCCTGAAAGCCAGCGGGAGGATCCCTCCGAGGGTGACCGTTTAAGGCCCCTAGAGCCACGGTGCGAGGCCACAGCTGCAGGAGCGTGACTGCCCTTCAGGGTCTTGGGGCTTGGCGAGTAGGGGCGACGCGAGGAGGCTCGGGTGGCCCCGCATCCGCGCCCCGGACGGCGCGGGCTGGGGGCCCGGGGCTGCGCGCGCCTCACCCGAGCGTTCTGCGAGCACCCCTCCGGGAGCGGCAGGCTTGAGGACCCAGGAGCTGGGGGCCCGGCTTCCCCAAACGCGAACGAAGAGCACGGCCCGCCCCCAGGTCATCTCCCATTGCCCTTGTGCGCAGACCGGTCAGGGGACACAGGAATGCTAAGGAGTAATTAATTGTAAAGCACAACTCACGTTTTTATACGGAAAATGAGACAGAAATGTTCCGGCCTTGGCTGTTCGGCCAGAAAGGGGTAGAGCTGAGATGCGATTCCACGGAGGCACACGGAAGATAGGAAATTCGTGCTCTTGACACTACATATCCACACGATGCTTTACCTGGAGGGGCCTCTGGCAGCTCACATGACTTCCCCCTAAGTGTTGCACTTTTGTAATCCTCACGGGCAGTTCTGTAGTAGATCACTGCGGAGCTGGAGTTGCTTGAAGGTGACCTGTGCCCCTGTGAGTGTCGTTTAAAGAGCAGACTCCAAGCCCCTCCACAGAAGGTGCCATCTCCCAGCACGGGAGCCTGTTCTCACACCGCACCCTGCCTCGTGCGGGGGCCTAGGCTTCATTTGCAGACAACGCTTGGGTTCTGAGAACGTCCACCTCTTGCAAATCGTGACTGGAATCCTCCCGCTTTTAAAATCCTGCTCGAGGGTGGCAATATAAATGCTAAAAACCCTTTAAATGTTTTGAAACACATATTTCATCGAAATTAGTGTTTTTATACTGGAGTGCCGGCCTCAGCCTGTCTTAGCAAACGAGAATGGCGCCAGGCAGGCAGATTCCCAGGCGGCCTGGGAGGTTCTCAGCAGGGAGATTCCCTCCCCACAGAGGAGCCCCTGGAACCTATGTGACAATACTAGGAAACATGAGAAACTCACTATGTAAAACTCACGTTTAAAATACTTTTCCTTAAATGTAGAAATTCTTCGAGTGATCTCAACATGACCTGCTTCCCTTTGTTTTCCAGGTGCGGTGCTTCAGCACGTCTGTGGCCAGGCCGTTCGCCAAGCTTGTGCGGGTAGGTCAGCTTATTCTCCGTCATTTTAAAGCAGAGACCTCGCTGAAGCACCGCTAGGGTGTGGAACTCTGTTTAGTTCTGCCTACACCTGGCTGCGCGATTGTGGCTCCCAAAACGCCTTGTGTGCATGGGGCTAGGGGACAGGTGATGTCAAATGCCTGCTGTGTGACAGCCCCCCACGTGGCCTTGAACTGGGAGAATGCCTAGAACCCCAGAACAGCGATGGCACGTGACTGGTCTTCCCATTTTACGGAAGAGGAAACATAGACTCGGGAAGACTTGCCCGAGGTGTGGAGCTAAATGCCACCCAGAGCCTTAACCTGTCCTCTGCCACTGCCCAGTGCCACTGGGGCATGTGGCCCTGCACCAGTGGCGGTAGGTACACAGGAAAGCCTGCGGCTCACTGTGAGCAGGAGGCCGAGCGTCGGGCACGCAGTGAGCTGCTGAGGGGCCCCGCCAGACCTGCAGGAGACGTCCGTGGTGGTGCTGTGAGGTGTGCGCATTGTGCTCAGAACTGCCTCCGTCAGTGCCAAAACCCTCCCGCACTTGGAATGCAAACTGACCAGCATCGCACGCGAAAGAAGTATCAGCTCATCTCAAAATTCCCGCGATTAATTCTAAATAGTTATGCTGAAAGGGACTTTAGACACCATGTTCCCGAAGGCCCTCGCTGTGAGCTGAGGCTATGGAAGCTGGAAGACCGGCCTGGCCGAGCAGGTGCTTCTCATTTGTTTGAGAACCGCCATTCAGGGCAGCTCTCTGGGGACACAGTTAAACTGTTTGTGTTAAAGAAGGCATAGCTTCTAAACTACAACTGTTTAGTTTTGCTTTTGACGGTATAATGTTGTCTCGGCTGATTTCCCCTGTCCTCTCTTCCCCTGCCCCACCCTTTTCTAAAGCCACCCGTCCAGGTGTATGGCGTCGAAGGTCGCTACGCCACTGCCCTGTACTCTGCGGCGTCGAAGCAGAATAAACTGGAACAAGTAGAAAAGGAACTGCTGAGAGTGGCGGTGAGTGGCTTTTCTGTCTTTTTAAGTTTCCGTTGTATATTTTTCCCTTTAGTCATTTAATTATGCAATCCCCAAGGAGGTCATCCTCCGAGAACTGCAAAAAAAGAAAGACCCTGTGTTTCTGGACTCACGTTGATAGTCACAGAGCTGGGTATTACTATTCTGAACCTATTGCATAGTAGGTACAAAGAGATACATGTGAGGACATTAATGAACCGAGACTTAGGCTAAAAGAAATAGAAATATGAGTTGGTAACAATAAGAAAATTTGTCGGCCCTGGCTGGTGTGGCTTAGTGGACTGAGCGCCAGCCTGAGAACCAAAGGGTCAACTGGTTCAATTCCCAGTCAGGGCACATGCCTGTGTTTCGGGCCAGGTCCCCAGTAGGGGGCACACAAGAGGCAACCACACATTGGTGTGTCTCTCCCTCTCTTTCTCCCTTCCTTCCCCTCTCTCTAAAAATAAGTAAATAAAAATCTCAAAAAAGAAAGAGAAAAAAGAAAAGAAAATTTTTCATCTCAAAAGAGAATTAAAACACCTTTGAAAACCTATGCTTGCTTCCAGGCATTTTCAAAATAGTCTTTACAAAATACTATGATTTTGTTTTACTGGGAGTTTATTTTCCTTACGAAGCCTTTCCTTGGTTTTAATTATTATTTCATTCCCGAGATGTCGGGACAGGGCCGAGCTGAGCGTCCTGGGCAGCAAAGCCAGTAAAGTGTGTGAGTCCCACGCTGGTGCCCATACTGACCAGCAGCAGGAACAGACAGAGCAGGAGGCCGCGGGGGAGGGCTCCCCGCTTTGGCATGAAGAGAAGCATGGATGGGCCCAGTAGCCACAGCCTGCACTGCAACCCGACTCGGGGAGTCTGCTGTGACCCCACTGGCTTTGTGGGGTAACCGTCCCGACACGTTTCCTGCCTCCCCTGTGGCGTCTGGTTGCCGCCCCTCTGGCAGGAAGGCCTGCGTTCAGGGAGGAGAGAGGGAAGTACCGTGCAGGACACTCTCCGGAGAAAGCTGTGCTCTTACTTTGTTTTAGATTTTCTCAGGCTTTCTGATCCACAGATGTCTAATGTTGCCATGTGGGGGGAAACCTCACAGGCTAGTGGTATGGATAATGCTCAGGGTCTGTGTTGGTCCCTTACTGTCCTCATGGAGCCAGCGGCCTGTTAGGGGGCGGCGGGAGCAGGCAGGATGGCACACGGGCCTTTGGGGAGGAGGTGGTCGCTGCGCACTGCTGGCGTTGACTCCCATTTTAAAGCGGAGGAGCAGGGCTGTGGGCGTGTCTGCGAAGACCCAGAGCCACAGGGAGAAGGTGGGTGCCTTAAGACTAAATGAAAGCGAGTGGGTTTTGGCACAGAGAGGAAACTGGGGTGCCACAAAGTCACTAACTGTCCTTCGGACAACCCGAACTCCAGAAAGCTTTCGGTTTGTGCGAGCCGGCCACTGTCCTGGGGGAACGTTGTTTCTCTGGGGCCATTCAGTAGCCGTTCTCTCACTGGACGGCAGTGGACCAGGGCCAGGATTTGGGCCAGGCCTGGGAGACCAGCTAATGCAGTCATCACGAGAGGGGAGCAGCCTTTGGTCACCGAGTGCAGGCATTGGTGACGTAACAGTAGAGACAGCGTGGTCTCTCGTGGTGCCTCGTCTCCCTCCCAGACGGACGGAGGCCGCTCTGGAAGCACCAGAGGTCCCGGGCTGGGTGGGTTTTCCGGGGCTCCGCAGAGGGCAGCAGGGGTCGGGGTCAGCCGGGGGAAGAGGCCCCTCCAGGGCGAGGCGCCATTCCAGGACTGCGTGTGAGTGTCGGCCCCACGGTATCCTCTCCGTGCGTGGAAAGCGAAGGTGCTCCCTGTGTGAAGTGCATCACCGTGTGCACAGAGTGGGGCCTTTGGGCTGCTTGCTTTGTTTATATCATCTCTCTTGAAAAGCAAAAATGAATTTTAAGAAATTTCATAAAGTGTCTAAATTCTTTCGAGGAACACGGTATCCTGTGTAAAATCCTGGCGTGGTGTGTTCTTGGAGGCAGAGAAGATTGAGTGGCTGTTACCCGTTCTTCGTGCTTTGAGGGCGTGGATGTAGTTCATGCAGTGCGTGCTTCATGAGAAAGAAAGTGTGTGGCAGCCAGGGCCTTTGTGCTCTGACGAGGTTAAGGAGGTATTTTTTTGGCACTTGTAGCAAATCCTGAAGGATCCCAAAATGGCTTCCTCGATTATGAACCCCTACGTGAAGCGCGCCGTCAAAGTGAAGAGCCTGAACGACATGACCGCCAAGGAGAAGTTCTCCCCGCTCACGTCCAACCTGATCAGTGAGTACCAGGCCTGCCCCGCTGCTGTCTGAGAGAGCTGCCCTGGCAGCTGTGGCCGTGGGGGGGGACAGCACACACTCGCCCTGCCTGCACCCCCACGCGCTCCCTGGGTGAGTGTGTGCGTTCAAGACTGAGGGGCACTGTCCTGCCTGGCCCGGGGCTGGGTCGGTCGTGCTTCCCCGGTACACCAAAAAGTGCGGGTTCGGTTCCTGGTTGGGGCGCATGCAGGAGGCAGCTCTCGATGTTTCTCTCTCCCTCCCTCCCCTCTGAATTCAGTAAGCATATCCTTGGGCGGGGACTAAAAAAGAAAACTTTGAGGGGCACTGTCTGAAGATGCCGGGATGTAATAATGTGTCATCTCATAATATTTGGATCCATGTGGCAGCGGCTGTGCCTCTGTCCTTGAAGATATTTGCATCCTTGTAATCGTTTTTTAACGTAGACAGTGTTAGTTTGAGGATTCGTAGCCAGACTTTGGAATCTGTGACATCATATGCAAATCAGACTGCAAGCTGCAATTAAAATACCAGACATTCAAAGAGGAACTGACTCCTCTCCTCCTGAACCTGCTTCAGAAATCTCAAGAGGAGGGAAGACGCCCAAGTTCATTTTACAGTACCAGCATTAATCTAATTCCAAAACCAGATAAAGTCACTATGGACAAAGAAAATTATAGGCCAAAATATCTGGTAAACGTAGATGCTAAAATCCTCAATGCAATATTAGCAACCAAATCCAGAAGTACGTTAAAAACATCACACACCGTGATCAAGTGGGATTTATTCCAGGGATGCAAGGATAGTACAGTATCCACAAATCAATAAATATGATACACCTCATAAACAAAAGGGAAGATAAAAATAACGATTATATCAACAGGTGCAGAAAAAGCATTTGGTACAATACAGCACCCACGTGTGGTAGTAACAAAGTGGGACCGGGGGGAACATACTTAGTGTGATAGGGGCCGTATGTGACGAACCCACAGCCAGCATCATACTCAATGGGCACAAAGCTGTAAGTGTTCCCTGAAGATCAAGAACACGACCGGACCCTGGCCAGTGGAGTTCAGTGGATTGAGTGCAGGCCTGTGAACCAAAAGTTCACCAGTTCGATTCCTGGTCAGGGCACATGCCTGGGCTGTGAGCCAGGTCCCCAGTAGGGGGCGCACAAGAGGCAACCCGCACTCCTCTCTTTCACCTTCCCTTCCCCTTTCTCTAAAAATAGGTAAATAAAATCTTTTGAAAAAGGAAAACAGGACGGGATGTGTGCCTTCCCCACTCTTAATATAGTGTCGGAACTTCTAGCCACAGCAGTTAGACAAGAAGAAGAAATAAAAGGCACCCAAATTAGAAAGGAAGAATTAAAACCATTGTTATCTGTAGATGACATGATGCTGTATATAGAGAAGCCTACGTATTCCACCAAAAAAATACTAGAACTGATCAAGTCAGTAAGGTGGCAGGATACAAGGTAAATATCCAGAAACCAGTAGCCTTTTTTAGCTTTCAATAATGAACTATCAGAAAGGGAAACTAAGAAAACAACCCTATGTACAATCACATCACAAAACAAATACCTAGGAATAAAGTAACCGAGGGTGTAGAAGGCCGGTACTTAGACACTGAAAGAGGAGACTGAAGGAGATGCAGTGAGTGGAAGCACGGCCCGTGCTCGTGGACGGGAAGGGTGAGCAGAGCGGCAGCGGCACAGCAGTGTGTAGACGCGGTGCCCTTCTCATCCAGGCACCGACGGCGCTCTTCACACGACCAGAGCAAAGAACCCAAAGTTGGTGTGGAACCGACAAGGACCCCAGACGGCCACAGCGTCTGGGGAAAGGACAGAGTGGGAGACGCTGTGCGGCCAGGGCCGCAGTGGACAGGACGGCGTGGAACGGGCATGAAAGCAGACACGGGCAGTAAACAGAACGGAGGGTCCAGACATGAACCCGCGCCTGTGCGGTCAGTCGGGGTCTGACCGGGGAGGCGGGAACCTACAGCCGGGCGGAGATGGTCAGTTTGGTAAACGGTCTGGGAGAACGAGACGGATGCACAGAACACGGAACTAGACCTCTTCCCTACACCACACACAAGGATAGACTCAAAATGGGTTAGAGACTTGAAAGCCGTAAAAAACTCAAGAAAACAGGCAGTAAGATCTTTGGACATTTCTCATAGCAATATTTTTATCCTGATACATTTTCTCGGACACGGGAAACAAAAAAGAATAAATGGGACTGCATCAAACTAGAAAGGTTGTGCAGCAGAGGAAACCAGTAACAGAATGGAAAGAACCCACTGAATGCAAGAACATGTTCTCCAACGACACATCTGACAAGCGGTTAATAGCCAAAAGTTATAAAGGACTTAAAAACTCAACACCAAAAAAAAAATCCAGTTAAAAACTGGGCAAGGGACCTGAACAGACACTTCTCCAGAGGGGACAGACACGAAAAGATGCTGAACCTCACCAGCGATCAGAGACGCAGGCAAAAACCACAGCGAGACACCACCTCTCACCTGTCGGCGCACCCGTTAGACTGACCAACGTGCTGGCGAGGACGTGGAGAGGGGCCCTTTGCCCTGCTGGTGGGACTGCAGGGTGGTCAGCCACTGGGGAAAGGAGGAGTCTCACAAAGTTAAAAATGGGACCGCCTGTGACCCAGCGACTCCACTTCTGGGAATATATCCTAAGAACCCCAAACACCAATTCGATAGAACACGTGTGCCTGCGTCCGTGGCAGTGTTACTTACAGTCACCGAGGTGTGGAAGCGGCCTGGGTGCCGTCAGTAGATGAGGGGAGGAGACACATGGGGTGCGTTTACACAGCGGGACGCTGTGTGGCCATAACAAAGGGGGAAGTCTTAACCTTCTGCAACAGCGTGGATGGCCCTGGAGAGCATTGTGCTAAGTGATATATGCCGGTCAGAGAAGGACAAGTATCATGTGGTTTATACACAGAATCTAACGAACAAAGTAGAAAACAGGAACAGAACAGCTGTCCGAGGGGAAGGGGCGTGGGTGGGCTACTGAGAAAGGTGAGTGGGTTAAGCAAAAATATAAATATGTCCGTCTTGGATCCATGTAAGACACACAGCCCCTTACTAAGTTAAATGCTGGTTGACGCAGTCTCTTTAAAAACCTTGAGCAGTGACTGCATCTTCTCCATCCGCGTCCTTAAAGAATGTCGCGTGTAGTGTTCTAAGGCCACAGGTCTGCGTTTGCCCTGGAGGCGAACGCGCCGCCCCGGGAGCGGCCCCTTGCGGGTGCGTCGCACTGAAACGCCCCCGCCTCCCCAGACCTGCTCGCTGAGAACGGCCGTTTGACCAGCACGCCCGCCGTCGTCTCCGCCTTCTCCACCATGATGAGCGTCCACCGTGGAGAGGTGCCGTGCACCGTGACCACCGCGTCCGTAAGTGGGGCCACAGTTGGGGGTTTTCCTGCCTCGCCTTCAGCCTCCCTGGGCGTGCTCACCTCACCAGGAGCCAGCCGGGGGGTCCAGAGGGGTCGGGGCTCGGCATGTGCCAGAGCACGTGCTAACCGTGGGTCTTAAAGAGGACAGAGCCACGGCAAACCGCCCCCTTGGCCAGGGAGCAGTGGGTTCGGCCCTGCCCGAGGGCCACACGGGAGGGGCCTGCAGCCTCAGGCCACACACTTGGAGGACTGCGCCCCTCCACTTGCATTTGCGCTGCCAGCACCGTGGGCAGACTGGTGGGGGCTGTCCGTGGGCAGTGCCGACCCAGTGTGAGCTCCCCGGGGTCCCTGTGCGGCGGGACCTCTGCCCAGCCTCGACCCCGGCACCCAGGAGGGACTTGCTCTGCAGCTCCGGGGGCCTGACACGGGGGCTCCCCGGCCTGTCCGGGTGGGGCGACGCGCGCCTGGGCGGTTCTGTCTGCGTTGCCCGAGTTCACAGCGTGGTTTTTCCCGTTTCAGCCTTTGGATGAAGCCACGCTCTCTGAACTGAAAACAGTCCTGAACAGCTTCCTCAGTAAAAACCAGATACTGAAGTTGGAGGTCAAGGTGTGTTTGTAATTACGTGGTGTACTTTTTCAGGTTAATTTGACACTAAAATAGTGAAAAGTCAGATCTGATTATATACTGATTTGCCTGTGGTGGGAATTCTATGTGTTCGGTTAAATGATTACTGATTCCATTCACAACTGACTTGTGCCCCCTTTTCCTAGATATGGTTGTGCCGCAGATTTGTGTAGCACACCTCCTTCCCAAGCACTTCCTTTCTTTCCACGTGGTGAGGGGGGCGTCCGAGTGTCCCCACTCCCACCGTTTTCTCTCCTAGACGGACCCGTCCATCATGGGCGGGATGATCGTCCGCATCGGGGAGAAGTACGTCGACATGTCTGCGAAAACCAAGATTCAGAAGCTGAGCAAGGCCCTGCGGGAGGTGTTCTGAGAGCGGGTTTGTCCGGCAGTGAGAGTCCCACAACAATAAAACGCTTCCCGGGTAGAACGTGCTGTTTCCTGCGTTTAAAGTGCAGACGCGCGGGTCCTCGTTTTTGTATCTCTTCTTCGTTCCAGAGGCCACAGCCCTCTGGCGGGAGGATCTGGTGTGTGCGGGTTATTTGAGGAGTTGAAGGAGACCTGTGTCCATGGGCAAAATCCTTAGCGTCGAGCGAGGCGGCCCCCTGTGCCCGGCCTGCTCGGTACTGCCTGTGTCTCCTGTAGGCCCAGAGCCCCGGGCGGGGTGAGCCTGCACGGGGCAGGGGCGGGGCGGGGGTGAGGGGCCAGCAGATCTGGCTGGCCGCCGTGGTCCTGCAGTGTGAGCTGTCTGGCCCGTCTCGAGTCGGGGGCCCTGACAGTGGCTCTCTGGGCCCCGGAGCTCGCTGGCCAACTGTCCGCAGGGTTGGGTCTCTGGAAGGGCTGCCAGCGGCCGGTCGGCGCCCACCAGTTACTCCAGCCCATGCTCCCCGGTGCGTGCGTTTTCACCTGGTTTGAGCCTGTCTCCACCTCGCCCTCAGTGGTGCCCTACTGAGGCGGGAGGCGGTGACGTTTCCTCTAAGGGCTTCGGAGAGATTCTGGCCGCAAAGGTGTCCCCACCCCAGAACCTAGGAACCCACAGGCAGTTGCTGTGCCAACAAGCTCTCAGTGGGGACGGGGCGGGTGGGTGCTGCGCACTTAGCAAGAGGAGGCCGCAGAGCAGGGGTTTCTTGCCTCCTGTCCCCGCCGAGAATGGCCTGAACCAACGGTGGCCGGGAATGTCGGCCCAGACCCGAGAGCAGGACCTCCTCCCCCAGGAGCAGCCACTCCGGCCCGTCAGCGGGCTGGGAGCCGCACAGAAGTAAACCTTTTTGCCCCTGTGATAATTCCAGTCGTCCTGAAATTGCCGGAGAACAGCAATTTTCAACAGATGTGCCACAAAACTTAGAACATGCAACACGTGACGATTTAGCCAGGAGCACTGACCTCTCTTCCCTGAGGCTGTCGAATAGAAGATGACAGCAGCCAGCACAACAGCTGTCCAGTGAGTGAATCAAATCATACCTATTTTTTGTCAGATCAGCAAAAAATCTGTTTTGTGGCACACTGCACCATTTTACTAATTTGTGTGCCCCGCACCATGTCCCTAGTTAGGTGGTGTGCGCCCGGAGATGAACCAGTTGAAAACTGCTGGCCGAGAAGGTGCCTCAGAGCCCATTGGGTGCAGGTGTGGCCACCGCGCCTGAGCTTCCAGAGCAGAGCCTTCCCGGCCGCAGTGCAGCTGCGTCCACCCCGCCTGCAGGGGCCTGCCATGAGGAAGGGCCTGTCCACCAAGTTCACGTGGCAGCAGACTGTCAGGAGCCAGGCACTGCCAAGGTCACCATCTCCAGAAAGTTCTGTTAATAGGAAATGGGACAGACCTCGTGTACCTCCCGAGCCATAGGCTTGATGTCCCTGCTGTCCCACGGGGATGCCAGGTGTGGTGGCTGGGTCATGACTGCGGGGGCACGTGTGTGAGCCCTGCTGCTTCCAGCCTGTGGAGCCCGCCCCCTCCCCGCCAGGCCTCCTGCACCGCAGCCCAGAGACGGAAGCCGGGCCCAGAGCTCCATTCTGGGGTCGCCAGCGCTGTTGGTTGCTGGCTCGATGGCCTCTCCCTGCCCCGGGCCCCGGACCCCTGACCCCAAGGACTGACAGGAAGCACAGCAGCCGTCACCCAGCAAGCCCACCCGTCTCCTGTGGCAGGCCTGTTCAACGCCCCTCCCACCCGCAAACGCCCGCTCCCCAGCCCGCAGGGGCCCCTGCCAAGGGAACTGCCCGCCGGGTCCTGCCCTCATCGCAGGCTGCCCTGCAGCTCCGGCCACCTCACAAAGCCTCCTTGTCACCTGATGACACGGGGATACACGTCAGCCAGTGACAGGCGAGGGAGACGTGGGGCCGCCCTGGAGACGCGCACAGGGTTGCAGGGCTGGGCCGAGGTGGGACCCCGTGTCCCCTGCTCCCCAGTTTGTGCTTGTGCCACCGTGTCCCTGACCACCCCGCTCACCAGCCCCCGTCACTGCAGCCGACAACGCAGCTGCTCTGGGGCAAGGCCCTGCGCCTCTTCCCGCGTGTCCCCGAGATGCTCCTGGTTTGCCCACCCACCCGGGCCAGCTGCTCCCTGTGGCCCCCGCCTGTTGGCCTTCCAGAGACAACGGGCCTCCTGACCGCAGCTGGCCCAGGTGGCTGTTCCCCAGACACCCTCCCGGTGTGCGGGCAGCAGGCAGGCGCCACCCAGAGCCGCCCTGGCTGGGTCCCCGGGTGGCCGGGCCGCGCCCATCCTGGTGCTGGCACCCGTGGGCCCCGCCTCTGGCACCACACCGCCTTCTTCGCTGGCTTCCTCCTCGCAGACCAGCCGTGTAACACCTGGGGTGACAGCAGAGGCGGACACCATGTGGGCCTCTGCACACTTGCACAGGAGCCAGGCAGGGCCCCGAGCCAGTCACCCAACTTCCACCGACGGCCTTGCCTTCCTGCGGTGCCCAATGGGGGAGCCAAGCTCAGCGGCTGGACGGGGAGTGGGGGATGCGTGGCCACCGGCCTGACCTCCCAAGGAGCGGCATGTGGTCCTCTCAGTGGGGCCTTCGCCCTCCAGCCCGGTGCAGCTGGGGTGGCAGGGCCGCAGCCACCACAGGCCAAGGTGACTGCCAAGCCACCCCCCAGTCCAGCCCACAGACTGCTGGGTGGCTCACAGGACAGGCGCAGGCCTCTCCGCTGAGCCCTGGGGTGTGGGGCCCCTGGGTCTGGGCAGCTGAGCCTGCACCTCCCAAAGGCCCAGGTTCCCCGGACTCACCTGCCTTCCTGCCAGCGGGGCTCCTGGCTGCCGAGGCTGCGCTGCAGGTCACACAGCCCGCCCCATCAGCCACCAACTCCTGAGGTGCGTGATGGCCTTCGGGGAAGAAGGGACTCTTATGCCCAAATCCTTCAAATCAGATACCACGAGCTCCTGCTACTGAAGCACGTGGAAAAGGGAGGGAGGAGATTTCCCAACAGCAGCACCCCCCGGTGGTCGTGGGAGGCAAGCCCAGGACAGCGGCCGCCTCCAATGCGCTAACGCCGAGGGGAGATTTCAAAGCCCCAGAAACCTGTACCCACTCAGCACTGTTTACACAAATGACGGTCAACTCAGGTACATTCCGGCAACAGGCGCTGTGCAGTCCTCCACACGGGTACATGTTGGAGATACGTGTACCTGGTCCTCCACAACTTGCCTTTGTCTAAATACGTATAATCTGTATACAGAGAACACTGATGTAAAAGAGCAATCAGATACAAGTGAGCGGCCTGGGGAGTCACGGCGCTGAGCAGGGCCTTGGCTGAGAGGCGCTCGGTGCGTGTCGGCTGTTTAGTAACACGGGCCCCTGGACGTGCGCGCACAGAGCACCGCCGGAGCACAGCGCCCCAGTGGCGGCACCAGTGTCCACGAGGAAGACGGTCTCCAGGGAGCGACGTTGTTTTCTCTGTATTTTTCTGTGCTTGCTGGGTTTTCTGCGCTAACAAAGATGACTTCTGTGATTAGAGAGGGATCGTAAATGTTCTGGAACAAAATGGTGCCTCGACTGTGTTGGCTACTCACGTTGCTTAAATAGGCGTCACCCCCAGGTTTCCACGGGCAGCCCCCCAGCCCACCAAGTGGAGCCAGCACCTCATCCATCTTGGAGAGAACTGAGCGTAGTTTGGGGAAGTAACTGTTTTCTTTGTTTTTAATGACATTTATTTGTTAAACTTCAAATAACAACCAAGAGAAACATAAAGACTTGAATGTTTGTCAAAAATGAGCCCTGACTGCTGTGGCTCAGCGGGTTGGGTGTCACCCTGCAAACTGAAAGGTCGTTGGTTCAATTCCCGCTGAGGGCACAGGCCTGGGTTACAGGTTCGATTCCCAGTCCGGGCGTGTGAGAGAGGCAGCCAATCAGTGTGTCTCTCCCACATCAGTGATGCTCTCCCTCCCTTCCCCTCTAAAAATAAATACATAAAATCACTTTTTAAAAATGGGGCCTACTGGTCCAACAAAGGCAAGGACATGTTGTTTTAGGGTCAGTTTTTTTAAATGCACTGTAACAATTCAACTAGGGTCCAAGCCAACCAGAGAATTTAAAGGACTTGATCCTACTTAGGTAAGTCAGTGATGATAAGGAGGAGCTGCCTGAAAAGCAGAAGGCAGAAAATGTCCTCACTTGTCCCTGAAAACTGAGGTGACAACATGCAGTGCCAGGCTGGCCGGCGGGGCCCGGAGATGAAAGCCGGGATGCGAACATGCGGTGTTGTGTCTGCCGACAGCCTCTTGGCGCAAGAGGCCGGAACAGCCCTTCACCGTGTCTGTGAACCACCCCGGCTCTGCCTCTCCCCCTCCCCCCCGCCCCCACTGTCCACCCCCCCAGGCGTGTCTCAGGCCACAGAACACAGAGCTTCTCAAACTCTCGGAAGTGCTGGGGACCAGGGATCGGTGTCTGCTTCGTGCTAACCGCCTCTGTCTGAAGGAGGCAGGGGAGGGCGGGGGTGGTCGGCCTGGTTTTTAGGTTCACTTTTGCACAGTCGTCCTTCCCCAGCTGCAGCCTGCACTGCTGCCTCAGGAGCCAGGTCGGGCAGAAGAACCCGAAATGATCCACAGTCACAGGGTTGGCTTTTCTCATTTTATTCATGAGCTGTGTGGATTCAAACCATACAGGTCCAAGTGGCCGGAGAGCTGTTTGGAGGAGATTGTTCTTTCCAGGTGACGATACATGGGAACAGCGACCTGACCCAAAACCACTACGGTTCAAAGAAAGGAAGAAATGAGACACAGACACTGGTCTGAGTCGGGAGAACTTAACATTTCGCACAGAGCGAGGCGCCAGAGAGACACTCAGACAGCAAAACGAACCCCAGCTTCTCTTAAACAAACAAACAAAAAAAGAAGCCTAATGTTTGGGCCCTGCTTCAAATTGGAAACAAACACCTAATTCCATAGCATCTAATAGTGTCCGGTGATGTTCAGAATCCCGCTGACCACACAGA